AATGAAAGACAAATGAAAAATCGAAAAAATACTTGTGAAATTTTGCTTCAAAGATACGAAAGAATATCAGTTTTGCGTCGAATTTTTACTGGAAATGAAAAATGGATTTATTTATTTCAAGAATTCTAAATGGAAAAAAGCATGGTTTAATCCGGTACAACCATCAACATCGACTGCAAAAACAGATCGATTCGGTAAGAAGGCAATGCTCTGTGTTTGGTGAGATCAAAAGGGTGTGGTATAGCATGAGCTTCTAAAACCTAGTGAAACTGTTAATACTAATCGCTACAAACAACAAATGATCAATATGAATTATGTATTGATCAAAATACAACCAGTACTGGCCAGAAGACACGGTAAAGTAATTTTGTCACACGACAATGCACCTGCACACAAAGCAAAATCGGTTCAGAATACAATCAAAATACTAGGCTGGAAGCTCCTACCCCACCCGCCGCATTCACCCTCCGATTACCATTGGTTTTCAACGACGGAGCACGCATTGGCTGAGCAGCACTTCTATTTCTACGCAAAAGTCAAAAATTGGTTTGCTTCAAAACACGAACATTTCTATTGGCATGGTATTCACAAACTGCCACAAAGGTAGTCAAATTGTGTAAAAAATAATGGTCAATACTTTGACTAAATTTTTTTTCACTTTTACAAAATTTGTATTTATTTTCACAAAATATAATTGTTCGACTTGATCCGTTTTTGAGAATTTTTTTTATTCTTTTGTTTTTATATTAATTTAATATTATTTATCATTATTTCTTTAGAACATTTATGGAAATTCAAAAAAAGAACAATAAAAAAAATAGGATACCCTACAGAGGACCAAAGGCATTGTAAAAGGGTGAAAATTTAAAAAAAACGAGGAACAATCAATTTATTTAAAAAAACATCTACTTTTCTACAACAAAGCATAGAATCATACTAATATATACAATATTAATATTGAAAACTAAAAACTAAGAAGTCACCATACCTAGACTAAATATTGATATTTAAAACAAATATTAAATAATCGATTTTTCGGTTTAGTAAATTTGTTTATTTAAACAAGGGGGCCCTGAGGAGTTTTTCAGGAATGAGGGCATCCCCAAAACGAAAATTTTAAAATTTAAATATTAAAAAAAACCAAAAAATAATTTTATAAAATTTCAAATGCGTGCGGATTGCGAATTAAAAATTGCAGTTTCGAAAAAATGTCTGTAAAGTTTTTTAAGCTGAAGCTGACTGGTCCAAACGCTGCAACACCACAGCCGATTGAGCAGAGAATATTTTTTTCACCATTACGCCAATTAAATAATTGTTTTAGGACTAAAAAGTAGACTTTAAACTTTTACTTTACTAAAAAATCTGTTGTTTTATCATGAACGATTTGTGGAGCGATTTTTATATTCAACAGTCTAAATCGACCCTCAAATAAGTTTGTAGAAAACTTTTACAGTTATAGTTACATAATCGTTCTCTGGAAACAGCAATATTATAAGTGATTAAAATCTAAACAAAAACAATAACATGTATTTGTTACATTTTATTAAATTACCTTAAAATTATTCTATATTCGGAAATTTTTTTTTCTACAAAGTCACAAATTTTTATAATAATTTTTTTACGTTTACATTTGCAGTGATTTATTATTTATGGAAAGCACTTTTTCATACCTGTTATTCACTGTTTTATAATTTCAATGTATTTTTAACACTATTTTATTAAAAACTTAATTGATGATGATGTAATTACTAAGTAACTTTTTTAAATGAATTTTTATAAATATTTTCGATTTTTCTTTTTCGGTGTTTCGGCGTTTTAGCGCGAAATTTTTATGTGTTATTGTTCTTGTTACTTATACATTTACATATATATATATACTTTTTTTTTGTCTAATTTACTCTGCTATTTTACTATTTTGATTTGTAATTTTTTCTGTTTAGCAGCTTGCATTTTTCGCACGCAGAAATTTCCGTTAACACATATGCAAGCCAGTTCGCCGTTAATATTTGCAAGTACATACATATATTTTATTGACAACTGCATTTTTTATGACCTACATATTTAAATATACATACATTTCGCATTAAGAAGTGCGTGGAATTTTATTCACACGCTTTTCCCGCATTTTTTTACATTTATTATAATTTCACGTTAAAATAAATTTTCACACTCCCGATACAAATTGAATGCATACATTTCGCTTATTCGTTTTTGATTTTAGTTTTTTATACATTTTTGTTTAAAGTTTTTTGCTTGAAATCCAAAAGGCTGGATTTATTTGCAGTTATTGTTGCTGCTTTTTATTGAAAAAAATATCAGAAATTTAACATAAATATACATTTTTTTACACAAACACATTTTTTGTTGAAATTTAGTTACTGTTATTTGCGTTTATAGCGTAAATTTGCACGATTGTTTCAATATTTGCTTCAATTATTTCTGAACAAATTTTTCGCTTTTGTGTTCTTTTTACGCTTTAAGCGATTGTTACTGTTTCATTAAATTTTACTTTAGCTTTTTAACATTTCATGAGTTTTAAATTTATTCTTTTTAATAATTTTTTTATTTATTTTTTTCTTAAAATATTACATTTTTCTTGTTTTAAATTTTTTTGTTACAATTTTTTTTTTGAAAGTTTAAATTTTTTCAGTTTTAATAGTTTCTTGTTATATTCTTTAATTATTTTTCATGTTTTTGTTCAAAATTCGCATTTGGCTATAGCCTCAAATTTCTTGTTTTAATTATTTTGTATATTTTTTTCAAGTTTTCAACTTTATTTTGTTATAATTTTTTTGTTTTTGAAATTTAAATTGTGTCTGTTTTAAGTTTTTTTTTAATAAAATACATATGTATATATATATATTTTTTTTACTTCAAATTTTCCCTTTGTTTCCAATTATAATAATTTTCATTAACAAGTCTTTTTGTGTGAAATAATTACATTTGTTTCTTGTTTTTGTTCTTTTATTCGTTTTCCTATACGTAAAATAATTTCACATTTTTCATGCTGTTAAAGTTATTGGAAGTGTTGCTGCATTGCCAAGAGTCACAGTTAGTTGCCAAGTAAGCCAGCAGTCATTGCAACACTTCCATTTGGCGCGTTCGCTTTGACATAGATTTTGACGTACATATGTACATATATGAATATCTGTTATGACTGGGGCAAGTAATTAGTTTTAAAATTCTGTAAATTTCATGCAAATTTCATTATTTTTAAATTTAAAGTATTAAAAAAATTTATTTTTAATATTATTTTTTCAGATTTTCTTGACTTTAAAAATTTTTATTTTAATTTTCTTAAAAGAAGTTTCAGCTTAAATTCAATATATGGTTTTTTATTATAATATTTTTTTATTTAATAAAAAAAAAAAAATTGGCGCTTTTTTCCACATATTATTATTATGTTTTTAATTTAATAAATTTTTTTTTCAGAAACTTAGCTGTTATTTAATCTGTTTTAATTTTTATTTCAATGAATTTTATTTTGTAAAGAAATTCGTGCTTTTATTCAATATATTATTACTATTTTTTTTAATGTATTAAATTTTTTGCTTAATTTTCTTTTAAAGAAATTTAAATTTTATTCAATATAATTAAACATTTTTTTAAATAAATTTTTAAATCAATATTTTCAGAAATTCGCGCTTTTTTTCAGCATACTGTAATCATTTTATTTTAATAAATCTTTATTTTTTTTTTGTTTAAAAAAAAAATTGTTAAATTTTTAAAAAGAAATTTGCATATTTATTCCATATAGTTTTAATATTTTATATTATTAAATTTTTTGTTGCATTTTTAAAGACATTCACACTTTTATTCAACATAATGATTTTAGGTTTGGACTTTACTCGTTGTTTATTTTTGTTTTTTTTTTAAGAAATTCCAGCTATTTCTACTATTATTTGTTTACTTCAATATTGATTTTTTTCTTATTTTTAATTATACAAATGTTTTATTTCGCTTTTATTCCAGCTAATAGCTCGGTTATGTTCCAAATAACTTTCTTATTATACTTATTGTATTGTCTAAATTATTAATCTTTTTTACTCTTTAATACAAAACATAATTAGAATATTTTTCCCTCAAATTTTCGCAAAGTTTTGTTTGAAACTCAATTTATTTGCTAGCAATCTCTATTGTTCTGTCTCGAAATTTATAATAATTAGCGCGCTCAAGATTTTTCTTTTTTTTTAGCTCAGTTTTGGTTATATAATTTAGAGCATTTTTTTTTTATTGATGTTAACGTCATTTAATATTTTTTACACCGTTTCTTCCTTTAAAATTGTAAACAAATTTATTTTCAAAGTTAATATAGTAACTATTTCTTTAATTTTATATATTTTTACCGTTATTTCCAACAAATTGTTGCAATTTTCTATAATTATTCACTAGCTGTTTTCAATTTAATTTACTTCACTAAATTATTTTTAACTACAGCACACCCTTAATTAGCATTAAATATATAGTATATAAAAATAATTAATTTTCATCCCACCAGCTTTGAGTTAGTTTGAAAAATTTTCCACCGCACAAATTTTTTGCGAACGCACACGCTAACACGCACACCGACACCGTCGCACTGAGCCACTGCAGAATGCTGGCATGCACGCCGACACCCCATCCAGCAGCCAAGCTAGCGAGCGAACCGAACGCCCGACCGACCGACCGTCTGCCCGCCGACACAAAAACGCGAAATAGCAACAGACACAGACACCGACAAGAACGCCGTTAAAACGCAGCTATGCACCAACACATGCATGGAAGGGGACTCCACGCACAAATACATATACGCGCTCGTGGCCCACCAACGGCAGCACAGCGCGCTATAACTGCAGTTGCAACAACGCCGTTGCACACAATCGCCAGTATGGCAACGCCAACAACACTAACGCGCAGCTAATGGTACGTTTTTGTGTGTGTGCGCGACTGTGTATGGGTGTTGTGGCATGTGTATGTGTTTGTGTGCGAAGTGTGCTAGAGAATTTAGGTTAGGAATATACCTTTTTTGTAGCTATTTCCCACTGGCTTCGTGCCGATTGGAGTCGTTTATATTGTTATTGTTAGTATAATATTTTTCGTTCACGATTTAGATAAAGTTTAAGCTTAAAACTTTACAAGCCATTTCCTACCAAAAGAATTTTGAAACTTTTTTCCGTTTTATTTGCTTCGTTTTACTGCCGCACTGCCACGCATTTTCGGCCGATTGCTCAAAATAACTGTTGTTCCACTTTAGTGCAGCGCAGCAATGCACAAACATCCAGAAATATATATAATTTTTTGTTCCTTTTCCACTTTCTTTATATGATATTCACTTGATATTAAATTTTTTGCTTAAATTGTTTGAAATTTTCAGGCTGGCGACCTGTACGCGTGCACCTCAAAGCGCTTTTACCACAAATCGTGTGAGAGGTTCGTCGGCGACTGAACGGTTTTTCCGATTGACGTAATCCTGCCTGGTCGGCAGCAGTTGCCTCGCAGTGCTCGAAATTCCCCGTATTACACCTTGCGAGTCACCAAATGACCCGAACGGCATAGCAAAAGAAGAATAGAAGGCGTGCTTGTGGTGAATAGTGGCTGAACTCACCACACAACGTGCATCGACAATACTCTTGCTTTTGCGGGTTATGACGAAAGCTTGCTGCGGCGGCGACTGTTGAATGTGCCATATACACAGCTAATTGTATATGTGTTCATAAATACATAACGGTACACTCACACACGTTCATGTTTTATTGGCGGTTGCCGGTGTAGCTGCCGTCATACTTGCGTATGTCCCTAACCTAACCTACAAAGTTGTTGTTTGAGTCTCCCGTGCTGTGTGCGCGCACGGCTGAATGTAACATCATATGTGTGAGTGTAGAAATATGTAAAGCAGCTAATAATTTACAGATATATATAAGGAATTATGCATAAAAACGTAATTGTTTCAAGATAGCTTGCATTTCATGATATAATATGAGCATAAGGATATTTTACCATGCTCGTGCGGAAAGGTAAACTTATGCTAGTGAAAATATTAATGTATTGCCTACTTTTAGGCTGACAGTACAATAATTGAGATTTGGATAAGTCTTTGACTTGAGGTTTCCTGATATTATAAGATCGCTTTAATTGCGATCTTTCCGCTTGACCATTTTAGGTCAAGTCATTTACATGATTGTAAAATTATGATTGCAGAAGTATATTCTGAAGAAAACTGTGACCATAATCGGAAAACATTAACTTGAATACTTGAATTTGTCTTTCTTTATGAAAAAGATTGTCTAAAATAAAGGAACATTCATCTGGATTATATCGGAGCTCAAGTTAGAAGTTTGCCTTGATTTGCTGAGTTATTTCCACGAGAAAACTTTGACTATGAGTGACCCTGTAATACTTGGTATCTTAACTTGTAAATTTTTCCCTGATTTGCTGAATAATATCGTTAAGAAAACATTGACTATGATTAAGGAACGTTCATCTAGAATAATTGGGACATCAAGTTGGAAGGTTGGTGCTGACTTGCTGAATAATATCATCAAAAAAATATTGCCTATAAATACTTGTATACCCTCAGAAAACATTGTCTATTATTGTGGAATATCCATCTTGAATGTCTCGAACGTCAAGCTGGAAAATTGGCACCGATTTTCTGAATAATATTCTTGAGAAAACAATGTCTATGGCTAAGGAATTTGCATCTAGTATCTCTGAATTAAAGTTGAAAAGTTTACCCTGACTTGAGGTATAATTTACTCCTTTGGACTCTCTGAGATGTTAACGTGGAAAGTAGGTTTTAATGAACGATATCGTCAATCCATGCAAGCGATTAAAAAAACTAAGAATTATCAAAAATAAACAAAACGACAAGAACTAGTCTAGAGTTAAGTTTTAAATAAGAGGTAAACTCCACATGTAACTTCTTGATGGAGTCCGAATTCCACTTAAATAAACTTATCATAAATTGTTCCACTGTGTTATGTGAATGGGGCGAAACCGTTGAAGAAGAGGCGCGATAAGTTTTTACAGGGGTGAGCCGAAACTTTGATAAAAGTTTGGAGGCGCAGTTTTCTGTAAGGACCAAGCTTAGTTTTAGGCTACCGGATCACTGCAGAGTTTTTCCTGCATAGGTGGCTGGTATTAGGGTCCTTTTACGCTATATCTTTACGTGACTAACCTAACCTAGCATAGCCTTGGCTTAAAATGTCAAATAGTCAAAAATGTTTGGAGACCTAACATAAGTTCCTAATTTTATAATAAGATGTTTTAGAAAGATAAATATTCAATATCTCAGTTTGTTGCTACCAAAGGGAAATATTTACCTTACTTGTACAAGTCTGCCATGTGAGAGTATGACAGATCTCATCTCATCAATGACGTATATATTTAACGATAACACCCCTCCATTTGTCGTTAGAGCGATGTAGATGTGGAACGGTTTTTTACTGCTTCCAAATAGGACTCAGTCTCGGAGATCAACTCTTTATTGTTGCTAAAATTATTTTCAGTAATCTCTTGAGGTCTGAGAAAAGAAAGAAGTCGCTGGTGACAGACCTTGGGAACATGTAGGAAATGGTAGTAAATATTTAGAAGCCCAATTTAAGCTAGCTAATCGAGTGAGTGCTTTCGCATACCAAAATTTTATGAACCATACAATCAAGATTTTCTCTCGTTATTTTTAGAGTGTCAGCTATCTCAGTTAACTTCATTTTACGTTCATCCAAAATTATTTTGAGGACTTTTTTTAGGCTTACGCAACTGTCTGGACGTCCATTAGGTTCATCGTCTTCAATTCTCATATACATTCCGGATAAGCAGCATGAAGCCACTTTTTGGTAATAGCAGGTTTTTCTCATCACCATATCACTTGAAGGTTGGATGCAAGTACAGAATATATGAAAATGTTACGCGCTTTTCAAACTCTCTAATATATACTAATACTCTGAAAATACTTATTGTAAAAAAATAAGGAGAAGAAAAAACGTAGAGACTGAAGGTTTAATTTTTATGAAGTTTCAGCTAATTTAGTTTGTAGAACTTAAAAATTTTCAGATTTTCATAACCTACTCTTTGAACGAACTTTTGATAGCTCATAAAAGCCTGGGTCTCTTAAAAATTTTGTACTTTTCCGGTATACGAAACGGTTAACAGAATACTGTTAAAATAACACCAACCCTACAAGCCTGCTTACCGGCAAAAATTACCAAAAAATAGAGAGATAGGTGTAATCTACAATAAAATTCATGGCGCTAAAATAAATTCCCGTTATTTTTTTTAAGTTGCTCCTGCAGTGCATCTCTGGAAATAAGGACAATAGTAACCTACTAAAGGATAGGAAAAAGTACAAAACAGAATGTAGTTGTTGTAGCAGGCGTTGTTGTTGCCTATGTGTAACAATTACATGCGCGCAAATATGAGTGCAGGCAAGGAATAAAGAAAAAGGATTACGAACTGAAAAGAAGAAAAAAAAATAGAGAAAAGCAGTAGAAGCAGAGAAATCATGTTAGGGCGCAAAATAAACTTATTTTTAGGGGCAGTGGTGTTAACTGTCACATTGTGGCAGAGTATTTGTGTGTGCAACATAAAGTTTCTTGCACAAAGAAAAGTGAAAACGCATCGAAAGGAGGCAAGGGGGAAACAGAACAACAAAATTTACGCGAAAAACTTCAAATAAAACACTACACCGAAAATAAGTGTGTTGACGAACAAGTGGCGGGGCACAGACAAACACACGTACGCACTCAAATGAATTCATACTTACATTTTTTATGGTTGTGTTTGCAGGAAAAATTAAAACAAACAGCCGAATTCATAGTGTGTAAGGAAATCACAAAACTCATTTTGATTGCGATGTTTTTGCTTTTGGATTTTTTTCCATGCGCCACCGAGACATTTTTGTTTATTTCTTTGCTGATTTATTGTTGTTGCTTTGGCTTGAAAACCGGAGAACATGCAAATGCGACAATGAAAATATGGTGGTGGGAAGGATTTGGGGTCGAGAGGGAGCGACCAAGCGCAGTAGTTAGAAGCCTAACGAAAGAGTAAGGGTGAGGGGTAATGCGAATTATAGGTAAGTCACGCAACTGCGGCAAAAAATGAAGTCAAGTGCACATACACACATACATACATAAATTTATATTTTAGAGTATAAGTGATGGAGAGTGCTTTTCTATAAGCTTAAGCAAAAAACCTGTTAAGGTTACTTGATTAGTGTCTATGCGCGATGTGAAAGATAAACTCGTCACCTTTGTTTATAACTGAAATTTTATCTACTTGTGTAATTAGCAAACTACAATAAAATTATTTTTGCGGTCATTTCAGCTGCAGTCTCATCAATTATAATTGTATATAATTAATAATATTTATAAAAATAGTTCAAAGAAGCAGACCTTATATTATAATTCTTGAATAATAAAATTATTTAATGTATCGAAAATTTCAAGAAAATTGTATCCATTATGTCATTTTCGAAAGGGCATCAACTAACAGTTAAATAACAAAACTTTTCAATATCTCACATAGAAAACTAAAGATCATACATATTTGTTTTATCCATAAAATCGCAAAATTTCGGAATTGGAAAAAAAAAATTCACAAAAATTAGACTTGCATTATAAAAATTAAAGAAGAAAACGAATTTGATGCTCTCGTAACAGATAGTTATAGCGTTATGTGCATATAAATGATCAGGATGACTAGACAAGTTGAATTCAGGCTGAATGTCTATCTGTCCGTCCGGCGTCCGTGCAAGTAAAAATTGAGATATCTTGTTGAAACTTGGTATACCTGTACCACGCCCACTCCCAACATGTTATAACGGTTGTGTTAAAAACTGCTAAAATTCAAAGCATTAAATTTCATATTCGCGTTGGTGCTGAAGGATTTATACGTATCTGTGTCCAAATTAGATAATATCGTGGATCCGTCCACTTTTAGGCGCAATTCTATATCCCGAACACTTTCAACCAAATTTGTTGCACAATAATATCCTGGTATTTATATTACAGTTATAAAATGTTCGACATCTGACGACAACCAACTGCAATTCCCTTATATAACAATTTCAAAATGCATCTGATTCTTTCACTTTACAGTAAAGTTATCGGAGTATAACTTTGCACAAATAGTAAGGTAGTGCATCGCATGCCTAAAAATGGTCGTAAACGGGCTATAGATTTTCAATTACCCAGATATCGAATATGCGGATCTCAATACCTAACTTTTAACGTAAAAATAGATTTATTTTTTAGCTATATTATTTATGGAATATCATTTTCAATACTATTACTACTAAACCTAAGATATCGATGAGTATATAATGAATGTACTATAGTTTTAATTGGAACATGGGTGAAATCGATTTACTCTTAGAGACCTTTTTGAAAAGTCGTATTTCAAAGATTGGCCTGGCAGCCGTCATTTCATTTCAAAGATTAAATATAAGAAGAAAAATTCGATTCGTTTATCATTACTTTCGAATAAAATTGTTAAAGCTAGGCTTAATTACAAATGATATTCTCCTTACGACGTTTCATAACCCATTAAACATTCACCAGAAAAGGTCGAGATGTTCCTTTCCTTGAACAAGATCATTGAGATCGAATATGGCGAATAAAGTTTCCTGAATTAATTTATTGACAGGCTCCCCCTCCCCCTCATTCTGCAACTACTTTACGAGATTCATCGAATGCGTTGGTAAAAGTTGAGAAAGCTAATTTATTTAGATGATAAAACTACCAAATATTAAAGGCACGGAATATATGTAGGCTAATGTGTATAAGAAAGAAGTAAAAGAAAAGAGTTATGCCTTACGTCCTCAACCTGCTACTGGTAGTCGCTGTGGTCAAAGCAGAGAGAAGCATTAATTAGTGACTATATTCTTTAAATCAATACACTATACATATATTTATATTATTTGTATACTATATGTAAGTGTATTTATTTATATTCATATGCGAAAGTTGCTCACTTTGCTTGACAGCAACCCACTTTCGCTAGAACATAACTTTAGTATTCTGCAAACATTTTAAGTTGTTACAATGTGTCAGTGATTCAACCACACTCTCTAAACACATACACACATACATGAATATGTAAATTTTTGTGTATGAATATTTTGCATTCCAGCGTTTTCCCACAAGCAGATACGCATGGCAAAAAACATGGCTGCAAATGTGCTGCGAGAATTTTAAAGCTTCGGAGAGCTCCTAGTTTTTTATGAGCCGTTAACAACTATTGTTGTACCTGCATCAGCCGGCTCAGATGACAAATGCTCTGGGCAAACACATTCCTATATAACACGTATGCCAGTCATGGTGTACTCTAATTTTATGGTTTGACGTTATTTTAGGTAGCTTCTTGCTGAGTTAAAACGATTTCAAGTCGCTGTTGTGCGAAACAGCTTTATTGCTGAATTTTAACTGTGGCCTTTTAGGGCTCATATGTGTTATAGAACACCTCTCATGAACGCCATATTTAAAAGTCTTAAATATGCAGTGAAATATAATTGCTTCAGATGTTTCACAAAGTATTTTGGAAGAAGAACAACAAATTATATACATAAATGATTTCAAACGAAAAGAAATATTTTCGATTTAATTGTTTATACTTTTGTTATTTATAAAGAAATAGAAGCAAATAAGTCAAAAAAATACAAATCATAAAAATTATTTTTCTGAATTATAGCAGCAAAGTAAAATTAAATTGTTCTAGAAACTGTTATAAAACAATATATGAAAAAATAAAAAAATGTTAACTCTTATAATGTTATAAAATATTGTGCTGATATAAATATTAAAAGATAACTCAACAAAAATAAATATCAAGAGGGCAATAAAATCAAAGCTTTTTATTAACTGTTATAAAATATTAAAATATTCAACTTTTATGAATATTATTATTTTTATTTAAAAATTAAGTGAATTTTGCAATAAATTGAAATATTAATAGAATAAAAGAAATATGAGAGCTGTAAGCTATATAGTAACTGTTATAATATATTGAAATATTCAACTACAATATATAAAATACAAATAAAATTTTTATTGAAAAATTAAGTAAATTCTACAATTAATTTAAATATTAATAAAATAAAGGAAATATGAGAGCTGTGAGCTATGTCGTAACTGTTATAATGTATAGAAGACTAATTATTAATAAAAATTGATAAACAAAACTACTGTAATATTTTATCAGTGTGTACATATACAAAATATAAAAAAACTGTTATAAATTATTGAAGGAAAATATTTTTAAATACAATATTACCAAAAAGTTAAATCTTACTAAAATATACCAAGAAAAAAATATATATTTAATAATGGTTAAAAAACATTCAAAGAGATTAATTAAAGCTAATATGTCTTAAAAAACACTTTAGGCTAAAAGTTAATGTGCAAATAAATTTTATAGAAATTTTAACAAAATTTAAAAAAAAAAATTGGCTTAATTTTAAATTAATTTCAAATAATATTTTTTACAGATATTGAAAACTGTTTTAAAATATTGAAAGCAACTAGGTGGATAGAGTGGCTGTCTTGCGACACAGTTAGGCCTTTAGGAGGCCCATTATGATATTGAGATTGATATTAAAAGCAACTAAGAGTAAGATATAAGTTAAAAGTATGTAGAATGAAGGTCAAACACTGGCATAAAAAATGCAAACCCTGAAAGTTAAAAATCCATATTAGTAACAAAAAAAAACTAAATTAAAATATGACCATTAAAAAATCTTGACAAAATAGGAAATGAAACAGTTAAGTCAAAAATGTAAGATAAACAGATTATCATATGTCACATGAAATTCTCCAACCCACTCACTAGCTGGACTAAGTCGACAAGGCAATTATCTATACACTTTCACGACGATTTCAAAAATGAGGAAAGTAGTTTCTGAAATAAAAATATTATAATTTTTTTTTAATGATATGACTTTGGCCCCTGCCATATAAGCTTAGCCAATGATACCCACATTTTTACTTTTTTAGTAACTACCATACCAAAATTAATAATTATGTTTGTAATTTCGAACTTCGCGTGCAAATATTTGGATTTTGGAGGCTAATTTGGGAACACGGAGTTGTTAAATTTTCATTGTGACTAAATCTACAATATTAAAAAATATTGCTTTGATGCAATACCCAGAAAAAAAAATGTTATCATATGGTGTAATGATAATTTTTCCATAATAATTCCCCACAGCAAATGCTTTCTTTGCGCTTTGTGCTAAACCAAATGCCATCCATTTTGTGTTAAAAAAGTTGTGGACATCATCCCATTTGAACATCAAATCCTCAACTTTCACAGTACCAATCTTCTATATCCTATTTTGTTCATCTTCTTATTTTACTTGAAATATTTGATATATACGTAAATACTTATTACCAAAAGCTCTTTTTGACATTAATTAAGTTAAACTAAATGCCTCTGCCTTAAATCTGCATAAGCGGTATTACAAGAAAACTCACATAATCAATTTCAATATCTACAGCAATTAGAAAAAAAGAAACGCAGCGAGTCACAGTACCCCTATTTTTGAAAATGTATATGAGACCTATATATAAAGACCTATTGCTTGTATTATTGTATGTATATTTTTTATATGCATATAGTGTTGGGTTATCAGCTAAGACCGTACATAGGTTAGCTCAAATCACTATTCCACAATATATACATACATTTTACAGCAATGAAACAAAGCCAAGCCATTAGTTGATAAACTTCAAGAATTTTAGTTTAATTTTAGCGCTCGGTGCGTGCAGTATTGAGAACTTGTGAACGAAGGCGAAAGAAGCATGAGCATCCCCAAGCGGTGCTGGCAGTTTGTAACACTGCTTGTTAGTATTAAAAAACTTTAGTTCAAATTTTAAACATAATCAGGAAAAAATAAAAATGTTTCGAAAAATATATGTGGTTATTACGAAAAAAAAGTGTGCGAGAACAAGCCAACAGGATTAAAATTGCGTTCGAAAAACACATCATATAAAATGTTTCAGTGAATTTTATAAATAAATAATATATATTATAAAAAAAATAAGAAAAAACATTCTTAGAAGCTACGAGTACAACACTTCTCAAAAATAAACAAATTTTTCATTCAAAAATCCTTCTGAGTGTCGCAAACTTCTTTGCAAATTTCATTTAACCTGTTCAAGGTATAAAAAAATTGCTCCTCTCCATAAGCTCATATTTTTAAAACGATCTGTTTTAAGAATTTAAGCGATATAAATTGAAACTTAGTACAGACTTTAAGTAAATCTGGTAAATATAACTCTGAAAACGCTTTTCAGAGAAATAAATGTCTAAAATAAAGTTACAAAGCATGAGAAAAGGTACTAAAAGCAATGGCTAACAATGATCGATCAATGAAATATCTAGTACCTTTTCGGCATACATGTGCTCGGCAAGATTCTCGTATTTTATGTAGTATGATTTCAATGCATATCAGAAAAAAGGATTAAAACAGAAGGCTAATTTTTATAAGTGAATGGCAAAAGAACGATCAACATAGATAAAACTTCCCTGGTTATAGTTTAGAACCTTGATTTTTTTTTGTTGAAATTTTGTTTTTGAGAGATTTTTTGGCTAATTCAAAATTTCCTAGTATCTTTTTTTTGTCATAGCTATGCCATAATTTAGGTCGCATTTTTTTTTTACCAAACTGGTTAAACTCAAAATGTCTACTCTATTGTGGGTTTATCATGTCATAGGAGATATACTTGTAATTATTTTCTAGAGATCGTAACAAATGAGAGCTTTGAATTCAGATGCATAAAAATCTATCATGAATGTCATTTGCAAACTTTCTGTTTACTACTTATATAGGATACTTTAGGTATATAAGTATATATTTTTCTTTTTCAATAATTTATGTTACGACATCCTAGAAGCTTGACATCGAAATAGAGACCAAATTATTTTAAAAAAAAGGATTAAATATGGAGCGTCCAGAGGGAATTAGTAGCTACATTGTTACAATAACATTTTTATAATACGTATTTATTTTAATGTAAATGTCTATACATACCATATATGCCAAATTAGCCTGACATTAATTTATAAATATGTATACCGTTACAAAAAATTAACCTAAAAAAATTTCCTGCACAGTTAACTGCATTTATCTGCATATCAGAGGCTCAACAAAATCACAGTATCCCACTTGAGCCTGAATTTTTCAACGAAGAAGCTGCACAGAATTTGCTTACACAAATCAACGATGTCTATTGGGCCAGCGCTACGGCGTATCGACAATTCGCTGACGACACACTGAGCCCTGAAATTTTGATGCGCGAAAAATTGCGACCCTTCTATGGAACAATGCAAAAATTCGATTGGCAAAATTTTGTAGATCCACTACTAAAGCGGCAATTCGAGGTGATCTTACGCGGTGCTAAATATCCACCAATCAATTATAAATTCAAACGCGCCACCAACACGTTGAAGAATATGTCACGCAAGAAATGGGTGTGCAACATGAAAGAGCCGAGCAAATGCAATATGGCCTTTGTGCATCAAATCAAAACCATATTCACGAATAGTGATGATCTGGATGAGATTAAGCATTATTGGAAGGAATGGCGTAATAAAATGCCCGCTGAGGTAAAGGAAGCACTGCACTACTACATAGCATATTACAGAAATTTGAGCACGCCAGATTTACAACCATCGGCGTTCTGGTATGATCAGTACGAAGATCCCCATCTAATCTATGAGCTGGAAAATTTGATGGATTCATTGCGTCCCTTCTATCGGGAAATACATGCACATTTACGTAATGTTTTGCGGCACAAATATGGCGATGACGTCATACCACCGACAGGTCTCATACCGCACCATCTCATGGAGCAGGTGACATATCAGGCATGGAAGAAAGAAACGGTGCTGCAAAATCCATTTGTAGATCGAAAGTTACCTAACTTGCAGACCGAATTGGATGGCGCAGGTTTAAAACCCTTCGATTTGGTTAATATTAGTGTGCAATTCTTTAGTTCACTTGGCTTTAGGAATCTTACCGAGTAGGTTTCGAAAATTCGAAAAGACACCTTCTTAAATATGCATTTATTTCATTTTCTTATATTTTCAATTAGCGAATTCATGACTGAACACTTCATTGAAATGGGCGCCGGCACTGGTGGACCCGATTGCAAGTCGCGCATCTTTGATTTTGGCGAGGTTGAGTTACATTTCTGTCCCAAAGTCTACTACAAGAAGCTACTGCAGACACACGGCGACATTGCAGCCGTGCAATATGCAATCGAGAAGAATAATTTCCGTGTTGGACTTAATCAGGAAGCATGTCCTGGATTTGGTGCGGCTTTGGGCGAGGCAGTAATTTTATCTGTGTCCACACCGAAACATTTGCAGCAACGTTTAGGTATTTTACAGAATTACGATTATGATGACTTTTTGAACTTGAACCGTCTATACCGTTTGGTGAGTAGCGATAAGAATTCTTACTTTTTTTGGGTGTAAAATGAGATAAGAAACATTTTTGAATAAGTTTCAAAAATAGAAAAAGAAGTAAACAACATTTATGCTTAATCAAAAATATTTTTTTTCTTTTTTTTTTGTTAATTGTTTTTTCTAACCCGCTGCTTTCTTCTATTTCAGGCCGCTCATACGCTGCTCACACTGCCCACTTATTTTGTGCATGAAAAGCTTTGGGTTGACATGATCGATGGCAGAGTGCAGCCGGAGCATTATAATTGCCATTACTGGAATCTGATGCAGAAATATATGGGCGTGGAGCCACCACAACAGACCGATCCCGGTGTTTATGATATGCCCTATAAGTTCTATGAGGGCATTGTTGATCAGTTTCGTAGCACAAAGTATGGATTGTGAAAAATGTAATTAAATGAATATTATATTATATTTTTATTTGTGCAGAAAGCTTTTCGATGAGTTCTTGGGCTATCAAATCTATCGCGCCATCTGTCTGAGCATTGGCGAATTTGAACGACGTAATGCCTACAAACCATTGGACAATTGCGACTTTAATGGCAGCAAACATGCGGGCAAATTTATTTAGTAAGTAGATATAATTTAGGGACTAGAAACCAAGAAAAATGTTATGTAATTAGCTAAGAAAGTCAAAATGGGTAGATCATAAAAGTTAAAGATCGATAAGACGGTAGCGCTCTGTTTCATGTTGCGCTAGGTCAGTTGGGGTATAGTGAGCGGAATACTCAGAGTTTAGATTAATAGAGCCTATTTGTTCGGTGGAAAACACCGGCTTTAAAGAATCTATCATACGTCTGAAAAATGAAAATATTTGTAGGGGCTGAAAGCGTTAATGGGGTGAAATCGTTAATGGGGAACTCTACCGACAACAACTCATCAAATTACAGCGAACAATTCCAAAAAAATTACCGAAATTTGCGAATAGACAAGAGAAAATAATTTTCCATTAATGCTTGTCCTCATGTTGCAAGACCCGTTATAAACTATTTGGAAAACAGCAGCTTGAAATTTTTGTCTCTCCCACCTTATAGCCTACGCCTTAACCTCTCTGACTACCATTTGTTTCAGTCAATGCAGAACGCGCTTCCTGTAAAACCGTTCCTATCCGAACAGGGTATCAAAAATTGGCTTGATTCATTTTGGCCGCCAAAGCGGCACAGTCAGATTAGCAATACTTTCAATAATACATATATTGTTAAAAAAACGTTGAGCTTCGGTAAAAAAAAAACCGAGGCAATTTAGTAATGGACCCAATATTAAAAAGAAGATCTGAATAAACACTCCGTGATTTTTTATACGAGGATATTTTATAAAGTATAAGCTAAAAAAATAGAATATTGATATATTTTCGATAAACATAAAAAACAGTTTGAAAGGGATTGCCGAAGGGGAATAAGATGGAAATCTTGATCGATATACTAGGGCCAATCTGTGTAAACGTTAGCCTAATTTTGAAATTTAAAGAAGTCCGATTAATATAAAGCGCTTCCTACTGAGATCCCCAGATTATTGCCCTTGACACAAAAGTTAGAGCTATTAAATATAATATAGGTTGAACCTCGAAGGCAGAATTTTTATATATAACTCAGATCTATATTTACCAAAGAAATATAATACATCCAGATGTTTACCGTAAATTTTTTTTTTCAGCGACATGATGAGCGCCGGTTCTTCAAAACCGTGGCGTGAAATCATCAAACCACTGACCATTATAAAATTAACAAATATGACGGCCACAGCTTTTCTGGAGTACTTTGAACCATTGAACACGTGGATCAGCGATGACAATGTTAACAAGAACCTGCGCGTTGGCTGGATGCCCATCGACAGTGAGTGCAGAGAAATGTCATTTGCCAAACGCTTTTTCACGCCTCGCACTTTGCACACAAACACATATACTCATACACACACATGCTCATATACGCTAACTTATCTTGCTCATCTATCACTCATTTTCTATTTTCTATACTTTTTGCCGCAGAATGCAAGCTTGCCACCACTCTACCGAACGCCACCAATGTGTTTTATTGAGCGGCGGAGTAGGTGGAGGAGGTACACACGGAAGGCGTGAATGCGTGGCACGTGTCAGCACGTTTCAACTGTAATCTGCACGAAATCTCAAGCAGTGACAACACCAGCACAGCTGCTCGTCAACATCATCAACCAGCCAACTAGCCAACCACCCACACCAACACACACACACACGCATATATATATATATAAACTATGGCATATGAAGACATTCTGTTTAAAAAATGTTTTTATTCTTTAGAATATTTTTGTTTTATTTTCTCTCCAGCTAGTTGCAACAATAAAATCTGTGAATAGATTCTTATAGACGTGATGTCAACCAAAGTCACATACATTAAGCCAAGTGTTGATGAAGCTGCTGTTTAACATTAGAAAACATCGTATTAAGAAACTTGCCGTTTGGAGCAGGATACATATGATAGTATGAAATAAATTGTAATAAAATCGCCTAACACAAACCAGTCATTATTGAAATCTTTGAGATATGACTTTAAGTTAAACCATAAAAGAAAATCAGTTGGGATAAGGAAATTGAGTGAAATATTAGTCATTACTTGTATTGGCAAAATATATTTAATATATGAAAGGAAGAGCTGAATTGACAAGGGGCCAATATAAAATATCATTGCCCTTTTAGGTGCTTTCGTAGATTTAGAAATTTATTTCAAATAGAACATAAAAAATTGTGTAAAACAGAGACTGCGTTTTGAAGACGAATTTATATACATACATACAACACTTAGGTTAGCATTTCGGGCTTTTGTGGTATCTTCATAAACTCCTATATAATTGACTTACACAAATCAACGAAATCGACGAATCGAACAAATTTGTTGAGATGGCTAAGAACAGTTTCGGCTATGTCTACTGGTGCGACGAAGGCAAAACTGCAGAGAAATTTCAACCTGAGTCTTCTTGCAAAAGCTGGAGAAGGAAGAAGAAATTGTCTGGCTGTTTCCACCTCACCCTCATCCTTACAACTTTGACAACATTTTTTAGCCTTAATGCATGAATGCCTATTGGACAGTGTCCAGTACGAACCCCTACGACTGCGGCAAACAGAACTTGGCTAAGTGCAAGTAGTTCAACCGTGGATTTACGTAAGTACTTAAATTGTTTGATTATTAAAAGTTCGTGCCATTAAAGTGTTGCTATCACACGCTGTATGATTTATAGTGTCGCCCTTCAGAACATGTAGTTGTTTTGTACTTAAACGATTAATACTAGAACACATAGAACCAAAAAGTAATCTTTTGTCACTTTCCCTCGAAATTTCGCAGCTATGGCCAATACGGAGGCACCAACCCAAAAATTCGGCAAATTTAAAAGAAAAGTTGGAAATGTTCCAAAAAATAATTAAAAATTTAATCGATGCTTGTATGGGACTTAATAGGTATATAATATCCTAAACATGCTTTGCCTACTGTAAATAGGAGAGTTTAATTTAGTTCACCAATAAATGAGAAAATTTTCTAAAGCATAAACTTCAACTTTGTTTCAGATCGGACACTGTTTTAGTCTGACTTTATTCTACATATCTAGAGCTTACGTGTGTACTCAAGTAAACCAAGAAAAGATTTTCGTATCATTTTCACTAAAACCAATTTACACTTGCTTTGGTGTTATCGGAGTGCATCAGACGAGCTTAAATATAAAACAGTTAAGATGTTTGCCTATATATACATATGTATGTCAGATTTCTTAGCATTTGATGATAGTAAAATTTGTAAACCTAATTTTGTGGCAGCGTTTATAAATTGTAAGGATAAATGAGCTTGCATCACGAAAAGTCTCATTAATCGATTTTTCTATGGATTACCATATATCGTTGGGAAAGTAATTCTGACAATGTTGGTAATGCTCTGTTTTAACAGGAGCACCTTAATATATCGCATTCGATCTCTAAAATTCCTGCTGGAATGAAATCGTGTATTCATAAAGCGTTCGTAAAACGATTCTCATTTATTTTTTTCTCAAATTACACTCTTGCTCTCTTGACTTGAAGCGAGTAAAATTGCTGATAAGCTCACGATGTACATCCAGCTTTCAGTAATCAGAAGATTTTGAAAAAATTTCAGTCTTCTCCGCGGCTTTGAAAGGTTAACGTTGGAAATTACAGTTAAACAGGAGCGCTTTTAGGGTAAATACATATATATTTAAGTAAAAATATTATTTGTGATAAAGTAATTGTATTTTTCTTGAAAGTTGCGCAAAAAACGAAAATAATCTTTAGTGCAAATTAATTAGGGATATACATAAATATAAGTATTATATATAGTGCATCTTGACTAAGAAATAATATAGACAGATTTTAAGGAACATTTGCTGGACAACATTGTCAAAAGTTAGCAAACGATTTGGGTATACAAGAAACATTTGTTTAGAAGAATCTTTAAAGATTATTACTTCATTAAGGTTTCTTGTACTTTATTTTAAAATACAAAAAAGTCTCATTGAATTAAGAAAATCTAGCATATTAGTGTTATTATTGTTGCTGTTCGTTTTACAAAATTATAGCTTTAAAGAAAACTCTTTCAAATATTCTTATTTTTTCAGAAAAAATAACTCACCAAAAATTGGTTTTATTTTTATGAGCAAATGTGAAGTAAAAATTAGAATCCATGTACAATATTTTTTTTTTGCTTATATATTATTTTTTTATACTTTATTATTCCGAATTCTCAACTTTTCCTTATCACCCACTCTTTCGGTGAACAATTTCATTCACAAAGTTATGTCAACAACTTTAAATGCCGCTCATTACAAATTCGTTACAAATTCGGCGCACTGTAAGGGTTTAAGAAAATGTGTGATAACATTTCATTTAAGAAAAGTAAATACTCAAGATCACAGTGACACACTAAAAATGTCGATAGTAGGTGCTAAGAAAATATGGCCGAAAAATGTGTGTATAAAAAATTTTTAGTTTCGAGTTGTCACAAACATTATAAGCCTTGAAATTTTAGAGAAGATACACTATTTTTAAATACTGTTGCTTTGTGTTGAGTAGACAATTGATAAGTAAAATTCTCTCTGAACACTTTATGGAACTCCAGGTACTTGTATGTTGGCCCTAGTATATGTTGCCGAAGATTGGACGATGGTAAAATCACAAAAGCTTACTCTTGGAGTGTTCGAAGGAAATTTTATTTGAATTAGAATAGACTATCGATGAAATGAGGTGCTATATGAAGAAACCAGGTATAGTAATGTCTTCATGAATACACATCAAAAGTATAGACTGAGTTACTAGACACTGGTAGACACGGAATCAGTGTACTATAACTTTGTAATTCTGAGGAACCTAACTGCAAATGCAAAACTATTGAGACCAAAAGTTCTCGCTTTTTAAGTCATAACCTTTGAAATAAATAATTTTAAGCCAGAAGGATAACGTTAAAAAAATTATTATTTATTAAAGCAATGAGGCGGTGCTAGCCCCCAAATGGCCTCCTACTCTTATACTCTTAGCCACGGCAAATAAATAAACATACGAAAGCGCACACTTTGCAATTTCTACAAACACAATTCTAATTCTGTAAACAAAACATTTAAGTCAGGCTGCTGAAAGTATAACGCTTTGCGATCAAATTTTCTTTTTGCTGTTTCTTATCACTAATTTCATTGAGACTTCTTTGGTGTGGACGCGCAATCAGCTACTCGCAACTGACCGCGCTTAATTTTTATTTATTATTATATATTTTAAATGTTTATTTTTTTTTAGCATTTTTTAAGCGATAAGAAATTTTGTAATTTCCTCTTCCAATCAACTTTCTTGCAGTTTCATTTCTCCACGCACACTTCCTCTCTCTGCGTCGCTGTCAATGCGAGCGAAATGATTGATAGACACTTAACCCTACAACGGCAAGCGTTGGTAAGCAAAGCTAAGAAAGCAAAAAGTGAAATAACTGTAAATAAAAACAAAAAACAAAAGAATCCAGCTTCACTGTATCAACTCAATTTTGCAACTAATCTTCCAGCTACCAAATGTCACTATCACACGCCAGCCTCTACTCGGCTTACTCTTCTTGCTGCTTTGTCTTTTAAGTGCAACGCTTGCAGCCCAAGTTCCAATCCCGGTTGTGACACCCACTAACGCCACCACGAACGCAACGAAATATCCACATGCCGCCGTCTATGAGGCACACGCCAATCAATATTTAGATCGGGCCTCGACACGTATGCAAGGCATTTGGGCGCGACGTCGCAGCAGTTTCCTCAATCTCACTACCAAAGGACGCGGTTACAACACCATCAATCAAGCGCCGATTAAGCAAGAAATTGAAAATGACTATCGCCACCTCGTCTATGCGTTGGCGATGAACCTCAGCACCATACCGGTAATGCAGCTGAAAGATCCCGTCTTGCGGCGACGTGTGAGACGTCTTGCCAAATTGCAACTCTACGGCCTGCCGGATAAGGATTACGAGGAAGCCAAGGATTTGTTGCATACGATGCAAACGTTTATAACCTCACGCATGGTTTGCTCGCTAGGTGATTGTCAGCAGACGGTAAAGTGGCGAAATAGTCGAAGTAAGGAATCAAACTGAAATGCATAATTAATTTATGGTGCCTTTCCAGCTCGCTATGGTGCCAGCGATAGTGAATCATGCGATGCGTACGAAGAGTCTGGCTGACTTGGAGTACTTTTGGCGTGAATGGCGTTCGGTTTTGGCAGATCGTAATCGTGCCAAATCGGCATTCATCTCATATGTGCGAATGTTGCGACTAGCAGCCTCATATAACGGTATGTTTTTATAGAGGTTACGGTATATATTTTTCATTAGTCGCAGTCAGGTTTAGGTCGGCACACAACATAGATATTTTCCTACTAATACTAGATTTTAATCGATTTGTAGAACCGAATTACAACGCTTAAATATAATTATCAGTTCTAAAGTCTAATAAAGAATTACGATTGCCCAAAGTTTAGGAATATAAAAAATCTCTAAACTCCTCAAATACCTTCTGATCTGAAAACTTTTTGTAAAGAATTAATATTGCAATAAAACTAAACACTCCAAAACTGCTTTGCAGAAAGATATTGAGAACCCTTACCCAAAGGCAAATCCACGTTACGTCCGTTGTGTAGATTTGAAAGCTTTGGAAAATGGCTGAAGTCTAATTAATCGACTCAACTAAACGCAAAGTTCGAGAATGAAGCATTTTTTCATCAAATCGGAACTCAACAGAAAACTTGATCTGAAAGTATATTATTCCTCTATGTACACACCAAAATCAGCATTTTATTAAGTTTACGCAACTGAAATGGACTCGGACCCGGACTTATATCTAGCCTACACCAGCTACATTCTTCTAGCCTAGTGTGGACTTTTTATGGTACGGGCTGACATAATTACTACATAAACTACTTTGTAAGTCTTAGAACACAAAGTTAAACCGAAGTTTATTACTAGACTATGCTAAATATCAACTAGTCAGGCTATTGTGCAAGCTTGAC